TCCGTAACAATGAGGTTAGGGATGATGATAAAGTCTTTTTATGCGGTGGTTGCAATCGACCTATCTCGATTCCATTTTATAGTTGTTCTCAATGCAAATACTTTCTACACTTGGGATGTGCCTGCCAACCAAACAAGCTCATTCATGGAAGTCACCCGGAACACTCGCTTAAGTTGAATAAATTCTCCGACACCTGTCGCCTCTTTAGATGTAAATGCTGCCACCTTTATAGGAAAGGATTCTTCTACAGGTGTGAAACATGTGAATTCACTCTTGACCTTAACTGTGCTGGCCTAGGGGAAAGTTTGGCACATCAAGCTCACCAACACCCTTTGGTACGAGGGGGAACTGCACACAATTCTTGCAACTCATCTCGCATTTCATTTGGGTTGAATTTCAAATGCGATGCTTGTGATTTCGATGTAGATTACAGGTGTTTAATGTTTCCACGTACAGTCAAGCATAGATGGGACCGGCATCCCATTACCCTGAGATATCTCCCTTTGGACAATTAACCCGATGAATATCATTGTGAATTTTGCGAAAATGAAATGAATCCAAAGTATTAGATGTATCATTGTCAAGATTGCGATCAATCTTTTCATCCCGGATGCATTCTTAATGAAGCTAAAAATATGAAGTATGGGGACACTCAACAAGTTGATATCACCCGCACCCACTCACATTTGTTAAGCAGGCGACGAACAAGTCTAGATGTTGCTGCTGCGAAAAACCTACGAAAAATGATCCCCTACTCGAATGTCAAGAGTGTACTTATGTGGTTTGTTTAGAATGTATTCGTCTATAATATACATTTAAAAAAAATTGTAGAATGTGATTGGTTGCCACAATGATTGTTTGTTCAGTTTCTAGACTAATGCTTAACATTTAAGAAGAGATTGAACATTCTCAATTATCATAATACTGGTAATTGTTGGTATCTAAAGACACTATGTAACAAATAAAAAATCGCCGTTTTAATATTTTGAAACAAATGAGAATCAATCAAAAAAAAAGTTGAAAGAGCCAAAAAAAAAAGGTTTTACTGCAATTCTTCACAATTATAGACAGAGCAATACTACTTAAAAATTTTACTTAATGATGTAGTTGTTATATTTGTTATTTATTTAACTGTGAGTTCCAATGTTTATTGAGACTCACTATATATTCAATGGTAATGATGCATCAAGTCAAGAGTATCTAGCATGGTATATTGTGCCACTATACCTTGCTCCTGAAAGAATTGAGCAAATGAACCTTAGTGTTGTCCTAATTCAGTGTATCTACCATAATATTGACCACCCTTAACTGACTTCACGATTTTGATCTTTTTATCAAGCTGTACCTCTACCTCTCATTTAAAAATCTTAAAAACATCTAAGGTTTGGTCCTTATAAAACAAATGGTAAAGAAAACCATATCGTGAAAAATCGTCTATGAAAGTGATGAAATATTGATGGCTTGTAAAACATGGAGTCACGAATGGCCTACAAATATTTATATGTATGATATGCAACATATTCAAACTTCTTATAACATATTTCTTGAACTTGTTAGTCTGTTTACCTTTCATACAGTCTACACAAGTATTAAAATTTGTGAATTCAAGGCTTGATAATATCTCTTCATTTACTAATCCATTTATTTTTCTTATGGATGTGTCTTAATCTCCTGTGTCATAAGGTGAAAGAATATTTATTCAAAATACCACGTTTTAATCTACAATGTTCTTTATCACGTAGGGATAACAAAGATATTTCAAATAATGTATCTAAAAATAATTTAAATAAATCATCCTCTAAAATATCATTATCAACCATAGCATTATTCAAGTGCAAACTAACAAAGGAAAGTACAAACATACATGATAATTATTACTTTCACAACAGTATTGTTAGAGAATTATTTTTCGTTATGTAGCTTTCTAGAAGTGCTAACATGGCTTCGGGATGCGGTGTCTTCTTGCCCAAGATAGGGCTTCCTGGTGAAAGTTCTCCTCCATACCTTCTCGTAGTTTTTAAACTATTTGTCATCTTGTGTTGTCCAATAACTGACCTGATCAGCCATTGGTCGGGTCTAACTTGACATATCTTGTCTTGATCTGCGCGGCATATGTTGTACAGGAAGTATAGATATATATGTTTTAGACATTACTCGCATATAATGCATTGGGTCCGTCATAAGACTCTTATGCTCCGTTTGATACGATAAAAAAATAAGAGAATAAAAAATTAAAATGATGAAAAGTTAGAGGGATAAATAAAATATCATGTTTGGTAAGGAAGGAAAGTAGAAAGGATAAAAAAGTTGATAAATTAACTTTCCTTATAACTCACCAAAATTAATCTATCCAAAATCAGAAGGAAAATGAATGAAAAATTAATTATTTGTATTGAGATGTATCTTATTTGTCTATATATATATTAATTTCATGTAAAAATATAATGGTAAAATATGTATATATATATTTTAAAAATTAATTTTAAAAAAAATAAAAATTTTAAATTAAAAAAAATATTTTTTCCATCTTAACTAAGGGTAAAAATTTTCAACTCAACACGATGACACAACACGACCTCGATACAAAAATAAATAAGTCAACTTACAACTCGACACGACACAATTAGTTAAATGAGTTAAGTTAGATTTAACTAATATTCGACACAAACTCGTAATGACTTAACACGAATCTGACACGACACGACTCGACTTTATTGTCACCCCTAATCTTAATTGCACAAAAAAAAATAGTTATTTTTATTTTTTCATCCATCCAACCAAACACAAAAGAAGGAAAGTGTATCCTTCTTACTTTTCATCTTTGCAAGATAGAAAGTGTATTCCTGCTATTTTTCATCCTCCCTACCAAACGGAACATAAGACTTCAGCAATATTTTTTGATACCACGAGTTGCGATTAATTTATTTATATGTTTGAACATTTTTACTGTCTTAGGCTTTCTTCAGTTGAATTAAAATTTTCATATTTAAAGATTTGTTAGTTTTATGTTCTTAATTTGACAGTAATATCTCTTACAATTGTCTTTTATTTTCATGCGAATGACCATCTCTATTTTTCCGTGATTATAAAATGTTATGTTTGATGTTTTTCTGTTGAATTTTAATAGGATACTGCTTAATTCTTAGATTTTTTATTTATTTTTTGTCCATAACTTTGCTATTTTAATATCTATAAAATAAGGGAGTTAAGAGTTTAAATCTTATCCCTATATATTTTTTCTGTTTATTTCTACCATATCACGTATTTCTATGACAAGTTAAATGATTTAATTTTTGATTATTTTTTATTACAATTTTTATTTCAGATATGTTTATATTTTTGTTGAGGTCATATATTTTGAAAAAATTGACAAAAAAATTTAAAATTAATTTAAAATTATATAATTAAATATAGTATAATCGATTTTTTAAAAATTAATGGATAGTAGGTGTATGCTTTCTTACAATTCTAGTGATTTGGTTGGGAACGAACAAACAAGAAATGTTGCACCACTCCTCTTGCAGAACGAATATATTGTCAGAGATCGGAAATGATTGATTGGNCCAATTCGCAATCCTGGGCACAAATTCAGGAATTGAGAATCCAAACCCTTACCGTCCAATTCATTATACATATACCCATTAGTTGAATTTTTCTGATCTGTTAGTTTTTCTTGAGAATTTGGAATTCTCCATGGGAACTCCGGCCTTCCCAAATCTAGGAAAGCATTGTTCCGTCGNAAAACACTCTAATACTTAAATCAATAACGATTCAAGGTATAAGCAAAACTAACTCACATGAATGTAGTTTGTACCGTGGACTTTAGCCTATTGGGGATTTATAATGATTTAAACTCATTTATTGCGTTTTTCTCTTTTGGCAATGTAAGGTCACACACCCTTTCTTTAACCGAAGTGTTCATGATTAATGTTAGGATCCTTCCATCATTCCTTCTCACCCCCCACTTTCATACGTTGGCAATGTTTATCCGTAATTTATTCTTATTAGTATCTTTAGAATGGAGTCATCTTCGCAATTNCGGTGTGTTCATGAGTCTGTCAGTATGTAGATGTCTTTTTTTTCCGGCTAGATTGTGTTCATCTAAGTCGTCACCTCTGTGTAGCATTTGTTCTTCCGATCAATTTAAAATTAAATGAACAAAAATAAAATAAGAAAGAGGTAGAGGAGAGAGNAGCATCTCTAACTCTTATTCAAATTTAGACTCAAATTTAAATTTGAGTAAAAAAAGTCTAAAAAATTTGTTCCAACCTTTAACTCAAACTTATATCAAATTAAAAAAAAACTCATTTTTTTACTCAAATAAATGGAGACTCAAATTTTTATTCAAATTTTTAATTGTGAGATTTTACCATCTTTTAAAGTTCTAATGGTTATCTTTACTCCCTTTTAAATTTGGGTTTGCTCTCATTTAAATTTGGGTCTATCCTTCTTTAAATTTGAGTTTGTTCATTAGAGTCTTTTATATCAAATAANAACCCAATGAGGTCCCAAGTGTCATTGGATCGGTTCTAACTCTACACTATTTGGTTGTAACTTAATCTGTTTGAGTGATGCCTTGACTAGACAGAGTTGTAACTATAAGTACGAGACTGAATTATTTGGTACCATACTGAATCCCTACAATTTCGGATGAAATGCCTTATTTTTGACAGTCTACTTATTCAGTCAGTTTGGATTGGACGTAGTCTATGGTAGTCTCAGTAGGGAAGATTGAAGCTTTAGGATTCCCATTATAAGTGCCAAATTGGGAACAGTTTTGAACTAATGATCTTTTCTTCTTTCTTAATGTACAATCACTGCACATATAACATTCTTTCATTCACCATTAGACTTGCTTTTCAGTAGAGTATTATTATCTGGATGATGGAAGAGCAGTCCGATACCTTAATGTCCGTGATGATGAACCTTTCTTCTACATTTGGTTTTTCAAGCTGACTTTTGATAGATAATATTCCCTGGAAGATCCGTGGTTCTCTCTGATGGCATTTGGGAATATGATAGTTCTCTATTTTTGGTCTGTTAGTCTTATCCTCAAAGGTTTGAAGTTGAATGCATTGTTCAAATTTGATTTGTTGATCTTGTGCCAGCTTTACCATCTTAGGCCAGTGAATGTGTCTCGTGCAAGTTTGTAGCTTCATATCTTTGTTATATTAAGATAGCTTTTAATGTTTCATCTGTCAAGAGGTACTATATAATTTTTGGTGGTGGTGGTTGTGCTGTGGCAGATGCAGACTTTTGATCTCCTCCTTTGTGGAGTGTTCTTTTCTCTTTGTTGTTTTCTCGCTTGTGAATTTATTACGTTTTACCCTTTTGAAATCTCTCTCCTCCCCCCCCCCCCCCCCCCCCAAAAAAAAAAAAAATTTGCTGAAAAGGTTTGTGAAATATGTCACAGGTGTTCTGTCTAGAGCACCGAAGTTACAACAAACATCATTGTCCAAAAGCCAATAAAAATGATGTTACTGTCGTCGTCTGCCCACTCTGTGCAAAAGGGGTTAATCTGGTTTCTGATGTTGACCCAAATATTACTTGGGAGGCACATGTTAATACTGATTGTGATCCATCAAACTACGAGAAAGTCACAAAGAAGAGAAAATGCCCTGTCCCCCGTTGTAGAGAGATCCTAACATTCTCAAATACAATCAGATGCCGAGACTGTACTGTGGAACACTGTTTGAAGCATCGGTTTGGACCTGATCACCAATGTCCTGGTCCTAAAAGACCGAACACAGCTTTCCAGTTTATGGGTTTTTTGAACAGGAGTAGAAAAGAAGACTCGAAAGCAAACCAAGCTCCGGCTTCATCTTCATCCAAGTGGGCTACAAGCTTCCTCAAGGCAGCTTCATCTGTTCGAGCAACAGCTGAAGCCGGAATGTCAAAACTGAGTAGTGAATTTAGCCAAGCGTTGCAGGTGGGGCAAAGTGGCAGCAGCAGTAACAAAAGTAGCAGTGGAAGTGAGCAAGTGGAGCAGTGTCCGCAGTGCAATGCAAAGTTCTCTTCAGTTACATCTCTAGTTGATCATGTGGAGAGGGTCCATGAAAGGACTGGTGTTCTGAAGGTGACACTCGATGTCTGCCCCAAATGTAGTAGAGGTTTTCGTGATCCAGTGTCCCTTGTGGAGCATCTTGAGAGGGACCATGGAGGCACTTCCAAAGCTTAAAGAGTGGAAAGACTGTCGAAATAGGTTATTTTGTTCCCTCATACTCATGGAGCTGTTATTTATTTTCTATTGCTCATTGCTTCCATTGTTCAATGCTTGTGAAATTGGAAATAACATTTAAAAGCATCCAATCATAATATCGAAATTCTTGAATTATATTTTTTATACCAAATCGGTTTGTGAATGAATATTAATCTTATGGTAAAAGCTAAATTAAGTTTCTTTGTCCTTAACTTTTGTCACATGTTGTCCTAGTTGTTCATAACCTGTAGGAACCCACACAGAGCAGACCTTGTACAAGCTGTAGGTTCTTGGGTAACAGAAAACTAGCGCAGCCGGTTTAGTCCCTCTACTTTCTGTCTATGATATGAAACCCTCAGACATTGAAGATGCACTCCATTTTTTTTCTTTTTCTAAAGGGTGCAACACTAGGAAAAGTGATCTAACTAAGCAGTTTTGATGGAATCAGGTGCATTATAGATAATAATAAAAAGTTATTCTAGCATGTCAGCAAAAGATATACTTGGCTGAACCCCATCATCACTGAACTTGTTATGACTAAATTTATACCGAATAAATTCGTGTTATACAGTATTTCTTATATTCATATCTTCTTCTTTATACTTTGACTCAATTTTGCTCAATAGTAAATCGTTCATCATGTATAGGTGAAGGATTCACTTATAAATAGTGGGTCCGACATGAATTTAAGTAAGTGAAAGGAAATTGTGTGAAAATATAAATTCCATCCTAGTATGTACCCTCTCTCGCCACAAAATGAAGGGCCCCTCGAACATAAATTAGTGTGACAAAAGTAGAGTCACTGTCAACTAAACATAAAGAGCTGCACAGGATGCAAAAAAAGAGACAGCCGTGTTCAATGGGAATGTGAAGGAAGTCGAGACTGACCCGGCTACCCAAACGGAGCAGTGCAGAAGACCCGTTATTGATGCCACTGGAGGGTTCACTATCACTGCTGGATTCGAGACTGCTTTGGCTTGCGATCTTTTGGTTGCTTCCAAAAATGCTAAGTTCATGGATACTCGTGTTAGGTTTGGTCACTTTGTTTTTTTGTTTATTATTTTTCAGACTCGATTTAGATAAAACCAAATACACTCGCACACTCAAAAAAAAGAACACACACGCATATATATACTAGTAATATAAGACGTGTGCAGTGTGGTACACATCAACAAATTAAATAATATTTTTTATAAAAAAATATAAATTATGTCTAATTAAATCAAATAATAAATTAGTTGTCAAATAATTAATTTATATTTTAATTTTTTATTTATTCTATAAGTTTCTGAGTACCTAGGTCTCTCTCTGACTTCTTTTAGTATTTGCACATCTAATTATATTATAAAATTATTAATTTTTTATTTTGTTAAATAGACTAATTAGATAGTTTATAATATTATTACATATTAAAATATAATATAACATATAGAATTCAATTTAGTAACTACATGTAATTTAACATGTATAGGATTTTATTTCTTTCTATAGATATAAGAGATTGTATGTAACTGTATTACTGATAAATATGTTTAAAAGAATTTAAAAATTTTTATAAAAGAATCTTAAACAAATTGAAAGTCAAATAAGAATAAAAAAATAAAAATTAAATAAAAGTATAAACATTGGTATTATTGACTTTATATAATAATTAGAGATAATGATGCTTAAACTTAAATTGTTGATTTAATTTACTTATTTGATCGATCGCTATCTTCAATTTAACTGTCATTGATTCATGGAAATGGAAATTCACTACTTACTACCTTTAATAATTGCAATTGACCAAATCAGCAAATTAAATTATTATTTTAATTTAAAACAAAAAATTTTCATTTTTAAATTGACAATTAATTTAATTAAATCCCCAATATAAGAGTAATATTCTAAATGTGAAGGGGTCCAAATGATTAAGTAACAAGCATGAAAGGATCTAGGTATAATTTATCAATGTAGTTTTATGTGCACATTGATACACATGTCTATCTTTGATGGTGTAAATTGATATTTTTTATTTTTGAGAGTACACATTGATACAAATTTTTATCTTTGAGAGTACAAATTAATATTTTTGATCTTTAAGGAGTACAAATTGAGATTCGAATTATCTTTCGAGGTAGAACTTGCAATTAATCCAATTTTAAAAAAAAGTAATGTGTTTACTAAAACAACAATACTACGTAGACTTAAAAAATATATTTAATAATTTCAATCATTAATTTTACTGTGAGTTTCAGTATTTATTGAGACCCACTATCTATTCAATGATTAAGATTATCGATTATAATTTTTAACTTAGTTTTTAAATCCATCTCTTACTAAAATTTNGTTGCAGGTGGGGCAAAGTGGCAGCAGCAGTAACAAAAGTAGCAGTGGAAGTGAGCAAGTGGAGCAGTGTCCGCAGTGCAATGCAAAGTTCTCTTCAGTTACATCTCTAGTTGATCATGTGGAGAGGGTCCATGAAAGGACTGGTGTTCTGAAGGTGACACTCGATGTCTGCCCCAAATGTAGTAGAGGTTTTCGTGATCCAGTGTCCCTTGTGGAGCATCTTGAGAGGGACCATGGAGGCACTTCCAAAGCTTAAAGAGTGGAAAGACTGTCGAAATAGGTTATTTTGTTCCCTCATACTCATGGAGCTGTTATTTATTTTCTATTGCTCATTGCTTCCATTGTTCAATGCTTGTGAAATTGGAAATAACATTTAAAAGCATCCAATCATAATATCGAAATTCTTGAATTATATTTTTTATACCAAATCGGTTTGTGAATGAATATTAATCTTATGGTAAAAGCTAAATTAAGTTTCTTTGTCCTTAACTTTTGTCACATGTTGTCCTAGTTGTTCATAACCTGTAGGAACCCACACAGAGCAGACCTTGTACAAGCTGTAGGTTCTTGGGTAACAGAAAACTAGCGCAGCCGATTTAGTCCCTCTACTTTCTGTCTATGATATGAAACCCTCAGACATTGAAGATGCACTCCATTTTTTTTCTTTTTATAAAGGGTGCAACACTAGGAAAAGTGATCTAACTAAGCAGTTTTGATGGAATCAGGTGCATTAGAGATAATAATAAAAAGTTATTCTAGCATGTCAGCAAAAGATATACTTGGCTGAACCCCATCATCACTGAACTTGTTATGACTAAATTTATACCGAATANAGAGTGCCCGTGATTTGTGATGGAGTTACGCAAGTCATCAATGGCCTCCTTTGTTTCTATGTCGGTAATCCCTTTGGAATATCTCAACCCTCGAAATGATGAAGCTTCCATTTTCCAATATTCGATCATTCCCAACCGGTAATTATTATTTCGGGTTCCATTCTTCTATGCTCGACTTTCCACTTCTCCAATAATAGTTCGGATGTTACTTGCGTGCGAAATTCTCACTTTGGGCAAGGACGCATCGTTGGGCAAGGACGCATCGTGGAGAAGCATTGAAGCTCCGCCCCATAAGTTATGCACACCAAGTGTTTGTGTTCATGGCGCTCTGTTTTGGTTACATCCGTCAAGCAATGGGTATTCCATCAGTCTTTTCGATGTCAAAGAGGAGAGCTTTCAAGTAATTCTGCCACCAAGGACCTTGAAACGCTATGATTTACTACTACAATTTGGAGGCCATCTTGCTGTGGCTGGTTATCATTTTCGGCAGAGTTTAGACCTCTGGGTGTTGGAGAATTATGAAGGACAGTCACAGTCACAGTCATGGACCAAACACCTCATTGACCTTCCATTTGATTTGGCTGACAAGGGATATTGGTTTCCGGCTGGGAACCTCGTTACTGACTGGTGGAGTGATTAAGTCATGCATGCCTGTCTATTCGTATGATCACGCTAAAGACAAGTTTGAAGAGCTTGTAATTGGCAGGTTCGGACCATCCCCATCTATAGTCGGAAAGGGAACGGATTTTTTTCAAATGTACTACTATGAGGAAAATATTGTACCATTGAGTGAATTTGAATTGTCAAGAGCAGGGGCAGATTTGCAGTGGGTGCAGCCTGGAATTTGAAAAAATATTGGGGTTTGTTGAAATTTTTTGAAATTTTAGAATTTGTTAAAAATTGCCCCACTGAAACACTTTAAAACTTAAGAGTAGTAACGTAGATTTTCAAACATGTGGGTTCCTTTAAACGTTAGCTAAAGTAAAAAGTTACTTTATTCCGTCCGTCCTCTTTGTGATCTTTCTCTCTTCGACGTCCATAGATCCTTAGACTCTCTCTTTGTTCTAGCTCTACACTCTAGACATTCGTTCTCCTCAATTTTTTACTCCCTCTTTGGTGGTACCTCTCTATTCTCTACTTCAATTATTATTGCAAGATGTATTGGGATGATAGCTTAGAAGAATGGGAGTTTAGGAGATTTTTTCAAAGTTTTCAAATAATTAGATTTTTATATTTGGAACTTATGTGTTATAAATTATTTTTTGGATTAAATCATTTGGATTGATTAGGCTTGAGTAAATTGATTGTAATGAATTAAGTTATTCCTATATCTAAGATTGATTTAGTTAAATTTTTTTTGACCCTAGATTGATTTAATTGACTCGTGGTAGATTTGATTTTTCTAAATTATTTTTGTTAAAAATTGTTTAATTTTTTTAAACTATTTTGATGTATTCTGCCTGAATAATGCATACTAAGTTGTGTCTGACTAAAGAGATTAATTTTTTAATCAATTATTGATAAAAAGTTTTTGTCAGATTCTATAGATGATAACTTCATAATTTTTTTTTTTGTTGATTTTTTTGTATTTCTCTCGTATATGAAGGTTGTGTCTTTAATTGATGTTCTTCTAATGAAACAATTCTTTGGTGAAAAAATTGTCAACATTTGGAGTTAAATATTTATATGTTTAAGGGTGCCCCCCGCGCAGGCGGGAACCCTTTAGCTTTGTTCTAACCCAAATGTTAGCATTGCTCTTCATGAATTTTGAACTTTTTTTTGTTTACATCTTTTAATGTTAGTTAAATGTTATTAGGTATTCAAAATAGAAGTTGTATAATATTATAGGTTTGGGAATTACACTTTAATTGGCTCCTATAACTGTAGACTCAATTTTACTTTATCCTTTAAGAATATTTCTCATTACTTGTTAAACTATTTTATTCTCTATCTTTTGGATAGAAATTTTCAAATGTGTCGGGGGAAAGTGAAACAAAACACATAGTTCAGGAAGTAAAATGAAACAAAACTCTTCATCAAATTACAACAGTGACATAGTTTAAGGTGCAATCTAAGAAACATGAAAGTTGAGGGGGCAATGTAAGAAAAGTGTTATAGTTCAAGGGGGTTAAAGTGTAGTTTGCCCTATTGCTTTTGTTTATACGCTCTGAAAATTTGGTGAGCAGAATTGTTTTGTGTACATGTACCGATGAATTTGGAATGGATAACAAGACTTGCACTGTATTATGACTAATCAAAATTTATCCCAAGTTAGCTGTTAAACTTGCAATGAGATTAGTATCTTTTTGTTAAATTTGATTTAATCAATGCACTTATCTTTTAACAGATAAGATTTCAATTTATAATTTTATCTTAAAAATTCATTGGGGTTGAAAAATGATCACCAATTTTATTTGAGCAAATATAGTTCACTATTGGGCATTCGTCTTAATTTTGATTAGTTGAGTCTGGCAATTGATTACTATGGTGCAAGGATGTAGTGGTTCTTGATGTGGTAGATGGGTAGTGCTTGTAATGGTAGTCAATTGGTTTTTAGGAGAAAGAGAAAAGGGAAGAGGAAGGAAAAATTGCATTGTTGTTGTTCTTGAGGATGAGGAGAGAAGCTTGGGAAAGAGAACGAGGGGGAGATCAGAGCAAGTGATAGAGCTTGAGATAAAAGGTGTTTGGGTTTTTTTTTTTTTTTGCGAGAAGTTAAATAGACTTGGCTTGGGATTGTTCGTTTTTTGGTCAGTTGGCTTGGGAGTGTTGGTGATTGAGTGAACATTAGGATGGTAAATAGGGTTTCGAGGTGGGGTGGGGGTGGGGAGAGGGGGCTGTGGGAGGTGACAGAGGGACTGAGGGGTGGGATCGGGGTTTAAACGGGGACTATGCATGATGGATGTAAGTGAGAGGGGTTTTCTTTGAATTGTAAAGATTGGGTTGAAATTATCTCACAGTTTGAAACTCAATACAAAATGGTTTTCTTTTAAGTAAAAGGATTTTTCTATGACACTAGGTTTGACTATTAGTCTTACCAATGCCTGTTACAAATGTCAATAGGCTCTTGTGTTTTAGGTAATCTTCATAAGATAGTGATTGCCTACCCCCCTGTTTGTTCAAGATGGTTTCTGAGATGATTTGGTTTGTCCTGCTTGAGCTTGTTTCCTATTCCGTGATAATTATGTATGTTGACAATATAAGCGTAGAATTGGGTTGAAGGAGTAGTTTGGTGGAATGGGTTTTGAAAGTATAAGAGAGGGGACGGGCTTGCACTGATTAGGATCTGGTGAGTCGGGTAGTAGTGGGTTGATTGGGGTTGATCTTTGGTTTGTGGTTATGATGCTGGTTTTTGTTTTGGGTCAACCTTAGCTCTGTAATTATCTTCCACGAAGAACCTGACACCAGGGTGTGAGTGCAATGCATCACTTAAGGAGTATGGCCTAGAATTTACCCATATATTCTTGAGATTCATATTCCTACTAGATGTGACAAAGTATTATACTAGCTTTTAGCTATCCAAGGTAATGATTCTCCTTTAACCCAGCTTGTGATTAAATGCGTAAAAGATAGACACTAAAACATGACACAAGCAGAGTTTTACAAAACCCAAAAGCTAAAGCTCGAAATACTAATATGGTTAAATCCAAATACAACGAAAAGCTTTTTGTCTAATGACTAATTCCTTTGAGATTTATACGATAATGGCTTATTGGCTTTAAGTATGTCGTAAATAGTTGTTTTATTTTTTGCATTATTGGTGTGTAAAAAATGTGTGTGTTCTAGATCGTAGAATCATATAAGTCGTTCCATCATTTGCATTATCAAACATAGTTGTTGGTTTTCGCTTATTTACAACATTAAAGAGTCCAATACTTGATATTAACTGCAACAATGTAAAGTTCAATTGTATGTTAAGCCCAAAACATAAGCTGGATGCAAAAAACATCTGACCAGACAAGAGTATATATATCCGTGCTCATCCAAAACTATAAAAAAAAATGGCAATTACCGTAGCCACCTCCAAAGAAGCAACTGATTTTACATGTAATGCGCTCTTTCAGGGATTGGCTGATGATTTTATATGTCCCTTTCTTTAATGGTTGTATTTTTATCTTCTTTGTCCCTCTCTTTGGGGGTTCTATTCTACTATCATTTTGGGCTTGTGATTCATTCAAATTTTAACTATAACAGTGGTATATTATGTTGCTTGTGCGATGCACAAAACTTACAATTCTCATCACGCTTATTCCAAAAAGTGAAGATCCTAAATCCTTTTCTGAGTTTAGGCCAATTAGTATATGCAATTTCTTTTATAAAGTGCACACGAAATTGCCAGATATGCGTTTAAACAAGTTGTTGCCGAAGAATGTTTCAAGCGAGCAACATGGGTTTGTAGAAGGGAGGAATATTGGAGAATGCATATCTTTAGCTCAGCTAATGGTTAGCGAATTGGATCTGATGATGTTCCTAACACAATTGAGCATAAATGTGAATATAAAGTGTATTGAACAATTTGACATAGTTCAGTCTGAACTCTAGAGTTCTAGGGAATAGGATTTGGGAATAAGTGGGTGATTACACAGTGTTTATAGTGGTTCATCAGTTCGGGAGTTCGGCTAATCCACTCTCAAGGGAGTCTCTAGCTCCTAAATGTATTGATTACTATGTAAAGTTTACAGAGTGTTTTTGTGAGACTACAATGGCTTGTCTTTTACTTTCGAGGGTTTTGCCTCCTATTTATAGTTATTCCTAGATCTTACTTGATCTGAGGTGAGATCTTTGCCCCCTCTCTTGTAACGGTCATCCTTATTGTGCAACGAGACTTGTACCTGCTGAGTAGATGTTGTTATAAAAAAATGGGTACTCAGTGGATCCAACTGTCCTTTACACCGCCTTCTTCGAGATGTAGACATAGGGAGTTGAGATCTGGGCTTGAGGTCTGTAAAAAATATATATGAGCGGAGCTCCCGACCTGAGTAGCATGATCTGAGTTATTGAACTCAACTTTAGATATTTTTGTGGTACCATTAGGATCGAAAGATTTTTGAAAAGAGAATACGATTCTCCTCAAGCTGGACATGATGAAATCTCTTATAGTAGTTCTTAAAAGGTTTGGCTTTTCTCAATCTTCTGTTCAGATCATTATGTACTGCTTAAGTAACCAATATTTCTCTATTTGTACTAATGGAAGTTGATGACGATATTCAAGTCTTCAAAAGGATCAAGGCAAAGGGATCTTAATCAGCCACTTGTTATTTGCCAATGACACGATCTTTCTGAAGGGAGACAAAAGGTCAGTGGAGAATCTTTTCAAGTTTAGTACAGTTTATGAGACATCTTCAGGCTAGAAGGTAAACAGGGCAGAGAGTGCGATGTTTGTGTCTTGGAAAATATGTGGCTAGGAGACGTGTGTTATCTTCTGTGTCCAATATACCTTTGAAGAACTGCCCTTTTACTTAATTTGGGTTGTCCACTAGTCAAAGGTAGAACAAGTATGGAACGTTTTGAAGGGTGATTCTTTGTAGATGATGAAATATGATTTGTGGGTATTAATGTAGTTAATTAGTGTGTAATGTGAGCAAGAGCTGAAGAGTAGATGTGGATTGTGCATATGAGAGCTGGGTGTGGTCTAAAATTATCAAATATCTTAAGCTTTAACCATTATTGGCAATGAATCTCCAAAAGGTAATCCTCCTAATCAAGGAATCGATCCTAAAATTAAACGTAGATGGAGCTTCAAAAGGGAACCCTAGACATTCTATTGGTCGTACGTACGACTGATAATTGAGCTGAGTTACTCAATCTCGACTTAGATAGGATTTAACTCGAGCTTGACTTGTGTTTTAAATAAGTCGCACTTGAATAATTTTTTAAAAAGTTCGATTGGAACTCACAAAATTTGACTTATTTATATA